TTGGGTCGGCCCATAAGTAATGGCGTTTTTTTCACTCGAAACATCGTGCTGAAGAAGGAAAGTTTTGCTATTGAGTTTCATACCATATTACGGAGAATTCCTTTCCTTTCGCAATGGACGTCTTAGTTTTCTTCAAGCTTCTCTTTCCACTGATATTTAAGTGCAAACTGGGGTGTCATTTCAACAAAATTGAGCATTTTCAAACAGCCTCTCTTTTATACCTCTAATCAAAAGGCTAAAACCGCATCGCCCAGCTGCTAAGTATATGGCTGAAAGGCTACGTTCTTGACCAGGATGGATGCTGAAGACTGGGCTTTTACCCGTTTGCAGAACAGAAGGCGGTTCAGTGGAATATTTATTACTTATGTGATGAGAGAGCAAAATCGGCGTGGACGAGTGTCTCCTACGCCAGCACAACCTTGAATGATGAAGACCCAACAAATCTACAGGTGCCCCGCCTCCATGAGTGAGGAGAGGGAGTTAGACATTGACTGACTTAGACATAATGAAGGGGGGAGGTCGTCGACGACGACACGTCTCTTACAATGCATAACCACGTCGATCCGGCCATTTGCAATGAGATGTACATATATGGACGTGCCTTGAGCCGCTGATTTCAAATCTGCCCTCCTTTTTTGCGGAACGATTCTCTGAAGAGAGTTACGGACCATTTAATCTTTGCTCTGTTGTACAAGTTGAGAAGGATAGTTACTTGCAGCAAGCGGCGATGGCCTACGTCGAGAAGCGAGTGTTCCTAAGAGACACGATTCGCAGTTGGATCCTTGACCTTGGAATCTTGACATCTTAATGTATTGGTCTTGATATAATTTTTTTTCTATTCATCAGAGGGACTCCATTTTCCGTGTATTATCTCTTATATATTCTCAATTTTGCTCACCTTGATTTGAAAACTTCTTATCTATTCTTGGTACTCGGCTGGATACTTTCGATGTACATCCTGGTGGGTTTGAAACACCTCTTCAGTACTGCTTCCCCTCCGGATTTTTGGAGAACTGTAATGTACCGTGCAGAGTACTTTTCATTTGCTCCGCTCATTTTAAGAACTCGTATTGTTTCTATCATTTTGTGGAAGTATACCACATGTGCTCTTATACCGTAAAATCTCCATTCCTCTATGCGAGCTCTAGAAACGGTCATCCACATAATAAAAGTTTTCGGAAGGAACCACAAATGGAGCAATGGCCGCTCCTATTGTCAAATAATCAGAGATTAGGTGAATTGGCCAAACAGAAGTGTTCTGGGGACTGATATGAAGTGCTTTGAACAAAAGCAAAAATATTTAAGAGTCAAGGATTCCAACATGCGACCTCGTGTCTCTGAAGCACTGCGCTTCTCCACTAGGCCATCGCCGCTTGCTGCAGACAACTATCCTTCTCAACTTGTACAACAGAGCAAAAGGTTTAATTGCATTAACTCTCTTCAGCGGAAATCGTTTTCCGCAAAAGGAGGGCAGATTTGAATTCAGCGGCTCAAGGCACGCCCATGTATGTACATCTCATTGCAAATGGCCGGATCGACCCGTTGGGGTTCCCTTGTTAGGAATGCTACGTTCGTGGCCACAGAATGCTTCGATGAACCACCACCCTCAGTTGATGTTAGACGTTCGAAAATTAATGGGTACGTTCTGCAGGTAATTCCTCCCCAAGGGGGCCCCCACGCGATGCTCTTTCATAAGATCCGAATTCCCACCTCTTGATCGCTTGAACCAACTTCAAGCTGTCATAAGACGCATATTTCTTTAGTCATATATACCAGAAGTTCCAAAAGTAGTTGTCGAAAACTCACTTTTGGATCGACCCGAATTTCCCTTTCAATGAAATAAAAATCGACACAAGTCGAGAAATAGTAAGAAGGCAATTATACTATCTCATAGTGCGGAAAATTATCTATCAAAAAATGTGGAACATATTGGAAACAATTGTAATTTTCCATATAAAAACTTGTCTGAAAAAAACGCCCGTCACTTATGGGCCAACCTAACAGCTTCCATTTCCGCACAAGGCAAGAAATGATTTGCAAGAGGCTGTAGTCCTCCCAGTGCCACATATTCATACAGTTTGAACCAGACTGATCAGGTTCTTCGCCAATATTGCAGAAAAATGATGTCGAAAGCTATAGGAGAAGAAATTTCGCACGTTCTGGAAGAATGAACCGCCATTGAAATGAAGCAGCAAAGTTCAGGAAAATCGCATTCACTTGAGGAGAATCCTGGCCCATCTGAACCGAGTTGTTCCAAATTTCCGGTTCGTCTTAGTAATTCCTTACATCTATGGGTCTTTCTCCTTCTTGTAGTGGTTCTTTCATAGCATCACTTGGAGGTTAAAGAGAGAGAAGCCCTTGCAAAATGAACTGCAAGAGTCCACATCAAAGCCGGCACAAAAAGATGGAAGCGTTCGAGCTCGCTTGGATGATTCCTTGTCTCGGATGAAGCAAGACAACATGGAAGGCAAATCTAGTTTTGTAAGGCAAATCTAGTTTTGTATGTTTGAAACCCATTTTGTTCTGTAGAATGTACACTAAGCTACTGTATAGTAGTTGTCTCAGGGGGCGACTACATGCAGCCTCAAGAAGGATAAGCGGCTTCGTTTACCAACAAAAGGGTGAACGTGGCTGGTCGACCTCCTACTACTGCTTCAGAATTATTCAAGGGGATCTCTATTTTTGTCAATGGCTATACAGGTGGGAAGTCTCAGAAGTTTCTCATCATCAATATACGGGTGTATATAATTTGTATTTCTAAAATCATTATGTCATATCTCCGGTTCTTAGACCTATGAAGGGAAGCTTGTTCGCAGTCACGAGAGAAATGCGCGAAATATGAGCAAAAAAAAAGGAAGTGCGGTTACGTGCACACGTTTCTCGGTCTGTGGGCAGCAGTCCATCGGGACTAAACACATCCGTTTTTATTTTCACCTCATTGGTAACTGTATAATTTATTTGTATGTATCTTTGGAAGGAAGTTCCCAGAGCGTTCCTGCACAGAAACTTCCTCAAACGAGGGTCGACTGCCGGAGAGGGTTTGAAGGGACTCGTAATAGGTTGTGCAAAAAGCTTGGGTCGTTCAACTCTTTATAGGAGTTTCGCATTGCAATCACGTCATTTGATGTCATTCAACTGCGCATTTTCTTGTGATGAATATCATCAGCACTCACATCCTACGAACTTACAGTAGATGCAAAAATAAACGTGAAAAAATCGCGAGCATGCGGGTTACAACCATACACTCCTTTCTGCTCATTTCAGGGTCCTTGACAGTGCTTCACAAGGGATCTGTTATCTTACGCGCCGTGATCTCTGTTTCCTGCGTCAAGATGGTCACCTACGAATCGAATGACGTGCCTCTATGATGTTCTACTCGATGGCCTCCGGGCGGTTTCTGTGCTCTTGATCTACTGAGCCCCTCCATATGTTCCTTAAAGGCAAAACTTGCGGTCGTTCGTCATCGTGGGTAGTGGATTAAGGTTTGTGTACAGACGGCAAGGTTCTGGGTGACTCGATGGTAAAGCAAAAAAGCAGAAAAAACATACCAACTTCCTTAGGCAAAACTCCATTCCGATCCCAGTTTGTACGTGCCCACTCAACTCTTCTACAATACTACACCCTCATCCGCACAGCTGATTCCCCGACAAGAATTCTACGACCGTACAAGTGATGGTCTTCATGCTTTTTCGTACTGTTGTTTCGTTTTTCACTGATCGTGAAGGCGGAGTCACTGGAGAAAAGAAGGAGTCACTGAACTTATGTTGCGCAGTAGCGCCCCTCCCTTACAACTTTTTGCTGCAAAACCGATACGGTTGTTCGTCGCGGACCACACTACCCTGCCATTGCCATATTTTCAACACTATTCCTGATCGCGGACGTCTTTGTCGCACGAGGAAGCGCTGGTGGCCAACTGCCTAACTTTACTGGCCGCAGTTCTAGCGAGTGTTTCGAGTAGGACAACTGGACTTCTTGCAGTCCCTTATAATACCACCTTATGGCTGAACCTGAACTCTGGACCGGCAGCTTTGTCCGTTGTCATCGGGATGGGGCAGGTCTGTAATGTGAATCAAGTGCCCGCGGTTGTTCGGCTTCCGGCACCATTCGGTTCCGACATTACCCGTGATAGCGGGACTTGAAAATTAAGGGACGAATTAACTTCTCCACCGGATTTTCCCGTGTTTCTTTCTTCAGACTGCTGTCGTTTGAAAGATCGAAACACATTCATTTCGTGAGTTGAACAAATGATAAGAAACTCACCACCGTTTCTCGACATTTGACATAAACACAGACGACCACCTTAAAGTAGAACGTCGTTGGCACTCTCGTCAAATCGTCATTGCTTGTGAAATAGTGACTCCATAGAAGCTGAGAGAGGACTTATGGTCACAAAGCAATTCGTATGTTGCCTCCAGGGCAGCATCATTTGAAACATTGTTGTGCAAAGATGTAACATCAAATGATTCTATGACGCAACCCTCATAAATGTTGGCGCTCTACATTATCTAATAACATGTCCGCGTTATTTGGTTGTGCAGAAACTTGCTGAAGAGACTCCTAGAGTGAGATTGAGAAACCAAGCTCTTTTTCAGTGGGCCATCAGTGTTGCTTTTCATGGGTCTTACCTTGTAAATGCCATCACAAGTCAAATCCGGTTAGTGACTTGTGAATATAAGTAAACGGAGAACCAGAGGGATGGGCAAATCATACTAGAGCTGATACTTGGCTTCACGTACTGGGAGTACGTGAAGCCTTCGCCACACTACGCCAAGGGTGGGATCCCGCATCGCGGCGGCTGAGAACAAGGTGAACCACAACTTCAAAGATCGATACCCTTAGGTGCTTTACCAGTTGAGGAACACCGTCTTGAGAATTGCTGAAGCGTTTGGGCGAGTAGGTCGTATGTTTGTCGATATTAAGTTCTCTCGTAGGCGAAAACGCCTAAACAGAAACCTAATCAAGCGATCAATCTTATTATGGCTTGAAGATATACACAACAACTGAGTTCGTTTACAGATCCGTCTGCGTTGGAGCTTCGCAATTTGATTCAGCTGCACGGGGGAGAATATCACTGCTATTACGAATACGGCGTTACTACCTATGTCATAGCGACTTCTTTAGCGAATGTCAAGGTATACCCCTTCGAAGAACAGATCGAATGAGAACAAAAATTGCCGATATTTATCATTCAAGGTGCAGAAAACACGACAGAACGAAAAGTTCGTAAAACCCGAATGGATTGTGGACTGGTCAGCAAGCTTTTTGATTTGCTTTCTCAATAGTTAAGCTAATATTTTCCAGTGTTGCTGCTGGGAAGTTGCTCGATGTGGAGAATTATATCTTACTACCTACCCAGGAGAAAAAGTCAATAGCAGCAGTGTTTAATAAACAAACGGAAGCTAAAGGTAAGCCATTGATTTTTTTTCTTCATGTCAACAGAAAGTATTAGGTTGAAGGCATGCGAGGTCAGTCATCCCTACATCGTGCGGCTGAGCTCTAGTCAGGAAGTATGAACGCAGCCGAAAACCTCGCCTTGTCCCGTCAAGTAAAAGTTTCAGAGCTCAAAAAATCACTCCTGTATGTACGAAACAGTCGAGCTCGTAAAGACTTTTTCGCTGTTTCTTTTTGTTTTGAACGCTGGCTAGGGAAAGTTACGTGGACCGGAACAAGGGTAGGAGAGTCCACTATAGTCTTAGTCCAGCTGAGGTGTAGCGTCGAAATGGGTGGAATGGCGATATCAGTACGACCCAAAAAAGCTGGGTCGCTTTACAGCCTCTTTCCAACACTGTTAATTCAAAATTCGCGCCTAATATCAGGTTGGAAAGAAAGAATTTTTTGAATTGCTCACCATCTTTCGATTCTTGATACTTGAACATGATGTAACATGCTATGATTGAAGAATATTCTCCAAGCTTTTCCGCAAGAGGTATATAAAGACGCCTGCTCTCCCCTGGATTTATTTACGATGTCAGTTTCACAAGAGCAGCTTCGATCTGATTTCCATGTTAAAGGCAGTTGGCACGATAAATCGCTATACAGATGTAGGATTTACGCGACTGGCTTAACAGAATTCCGTGACCTCGGACAGGCGCTCCGTGGCGCCTTGTACCCCTATAATGTCCTATCGAGCAACAACATTCCGTCCCAAACGCCTTCCTCGCCCGCCCGCCCACAAACGGGACCTTCTGACGCTCGTATTCATTCATTTGCTGAGCAAATTATGAAGCAAAGGGATTGGTATGAAGCGGCCGTGATGCTGCATGCATATATGGGTACACATATGCAGCCGTATCTTCGGTAGCGGTGATTGGCAAGATGCCTACGGGAAACTCGTCCGAAATCGATTTTCAAGTCACTGAGAACGGAGGCTTTTTCTTCGCCGATTTTGACCGTTTCACTCCGTTCTTTCGCCATTTCCCCACTACATAGCGCCCTACTAGCATTTTAGGCCGAGTGGGAAACCATCGTGCCAACTGCCTTTAAGTTTGGCTCAGTCGTGTCTGTCAACGAGAGGTCAGGAGTAAGCGAGAGAGCAATTAAGTCAGGCAACCCCACAGGCAGTCTCCCCAAGAGGCATGATAGGTGTGAAGTGAGATCTTTTAAGAAAGTCCTACACCCGTCTTCCCCAAATGCGCTGTTGATCTTGCGGACAGCTGCCCTCGCTCCAATGTCGCGATGCCTTTTATAGAAAACCAGTCGGCTCGCCGGCTGACGCCGGCGTGCCTCCTTCTGATACGGCCCGGCTTCGCCGGGCGGGCGCGGCTTCGCCGCGCTTACCTTCTTCCACATGTTTATATACCCAACTGATGGCTTTTCTTTTATCTGAACAGATAACCAACGCTCCTTGACCAATAACATCATACCTGCTATTTTCAACACTATTACTGTGCATGACATTATGGTAAGGAGCATTGATGAAGTGCAGAGATGACAGAAAGCCGGGTATCAGTCGTGCATTCAAACGTACGAAAGCAGGTAGGGTAGACGAAGCCACGCCCGCCCGGCAAGGCTGGGCCGTATCACAGAGGAGGCGCGTCGGGCCGACGAGCCGATTGGTATCTGATGCATTCGACGGCCGATGCTTGAGTGCATGGCTGCCGATGCACTGAAGCTCTATAAAGCTAGCAGTAGGCAGCTCGCGCTTGAAGGCACGCACAGCTGTGGACAGTCTCTACGCACCACCGACGCACTCAACCTCCGCTGTATGTTTCTTTTCTCCAGCGACTTTTTGCAATCCCTAAAGTCACTCAGGTCCGAAATATGAAATCTCGTAGCAAGCACGCCCGCCAGTACGTCCCGCCCATTTTGAGGATGTCTGCCCCCATTTCATCCACTAACCTTCAGTCCACATGTCCCCCGATGCAAATGCTGCTCTGGAAGCAACTCGTGAATTTTTGACTTTTGCCCCTCCCACCTCGACACCTGCTTCGCCCACAATGGGCGTGTCTATCTCACTTCAATGGCCGAGGACTTGCACACCTCTGCTCACCTTTTGCCGGTGTCTGGACTGCTCTGGGAACGTTTTAAAGTCTTTTTCGTTGGCCCCGCCCAGCTCTCCTCACGCTCCGCCCACAACGGGTGTGCCTAGTACCAGGGCACACCATCGCGTTGTGATCATTTTCCGCTGAATACGACCCCCGCCCCCCAAATATGCGTGTTTTTAATACCCCACCCCGGCCATGAGGGTATAAACGAAAAGAGGCGCAAAAGGGGATGAAAGAAAAATGAACAAATGAAAGAGAACTAGGCACTAGTGAGACTAATTCCTATATAACCCAAGAACGTCAGAAAAAAATTTTTGCAGGAAGTCCCGTCTAATAGCATGAATGTTCCGGTCCTCAACCACGAGTATGACATCATTTCTCCATACCAGCGCTATTTTCTCTGCTGAGGTTGAAACTGGGAAAAGGGAAGATTTCTCTCAGGCCAGGCTCAGTCCTACAGCAAGAGCGCAGATTAACCAATAGTGTCGTGCATGTAACGCCGGGCGCGCAAAATGAAGTGTCATTATATCGTAGTCAGTGATGTCAAACAACCTCCGTATACAAGTTTTAATCGACTCTGGTGATTTAGGGTGTTTTGGCACCCGCGCCTGTGGCACAAGGAAGGACGACCATGGACTACTTGGGCGCGGGGGCTGTCTTTGAAGGACCAATCTAGAAGCCCTCTGAGAAGAAAAAAGTAAAGTTCCAATAATACTGATGCCCCTCTTGGAATGAGGCGTTTTGAATATGTTCGGAGAAAATAGATGGAGTCCGTGGATGAACCGAAAATACCACTGCGATGATAAATATCTCATCAAAATGGTTCGCCAACTAGAGGCAGGATTTTTATTGGGTATAGATTATTAGGTATAGTGTTTCGAAGATTGAAATGGTTCATATTCAAATAAACTCTGAAGAAGTTTCATGGTTCATTAATCGGGGCTATATTACAGAAACAAGGGCATCGGCCCCTATTCTCGATGCACGCGACCCGAAGTTTTTGGAGGAGTTCTATGCAAGGTGATGATCAGGAATATGTTACGATGGGCCATTTCCATTTGGAGAATAGTTGTGAAACGATAGATTACAATTTGGTCCGTTGTCCCGAATCATTCCTTTTGGAGGCAAAGAACCACACTGAGTCCTCCACAACCCGGCGAATGGTTTAAATCTTCCCATGGAACTTTGAATGGAGACCTAGGTATATCGATAGAGCCTCGAATGCTGATTACGAATATGCAGATTAAAAGTGCTACGGGGACCTCCCAGACGAGATCTGGGTGGTCAAAGTTTGAGTTCTGGCTCGTAAGCGCTGCTGATCGATGCTTCGGCAGTGCCAACTCGTGTGGCATGTGTAGATGGTCTCGCTTTCAAGTCAAACGCATTCGGGTTTGCATCCTGGTTGGCGCGAAAATTTTTGCTTCGCTCCGTATAAGAGCTTCAACTCTAATTTTCGAAATTCTTCCGAATTTACGGCCCAGTAGGGCAAGTAGATGCACATACGTCTAAAGTTTAATATACGACATACTCGATCTAGTATGGATTTGGTCATATCTGCCCTCTCTGAACATATTACCCATCCGACAATTCAAAGTTTTAGCGAGAAATTCGTTCATGGGAGATTTCGACCCCACCCACCCCCCGCCTGAACACGAATATCACTTCCTTTGACGAAAAAACGCTCGTCTGGCCAAATTGCAATTCCGGGCAAAACTTTGAATTGTCGGATGGGTAATATGTTCAGAGAGGGCAGATATGACCAAATCCATACTAGATCGAGTATGTCGTATACTTGATGTACTTGATCTACTTGCCCTGCTGGGCCGTAAATTCGGAAGAATTTAGTTGAAGCTCTTATACGGAGCGAAGCAAAAATTTTCGCGCCAACCGGATGCAAACCGCATGCGTTTGACTTGAAAGCGAGACCATTACCACGAGGCCACGGTGGCACTGCCGAGGCATCGATCAGCAGCGCTTACGAGCCAGAACTCAAACTTTGACCACCCAGATCTCGTCTGGGAGGTCCCCGTAGCACTTTTAATCTGCATATTCGTAATCAGCATTCGAGGCTCTATCGATGTACCTAGGTCTCCATTCAAAGTTCCATGGGAAGTTCAAACCATTCCCCTTTGTCAAGCGATGATTTTTGGCGTGTCACTTATACCTCACAGGGCCAGAAGCGCAGCACTAACAAAAGTGCAGGAAGACTTAATTTTTGGTTCTTTGCAGATCGCGCCTCCATCTGATTTCGACACTAGCACAAGAAATGAAGGATTGGGTGAACACGATGCGTGAAAGCAGCTCTCCCACTTT